TTTACAGCGGCATGTTCACCCCGGCGGATAATCGGTTTCCTCGCGACACTCGCCCGGAGCGCGTTGAACGAGTCCCTCGGATTTATGATTGTCGTTTACGAGCCGCTTTTAAAGAGCCGTTCCAAAGAGCCTTTCCTTCCGGTAAAAAAGTCGCGACCGCGCGCGATGCACTATTTATACGGCCATTAGCTTACGATCTTCCTCCTTCGCTCTTCTTCTATAAATACAGGCCGCGCGGTGCAGTGGCAGTCCTCGTTTCCTCATCTTCGCTCGTAAAGTCTGAAGCCTGGCTCTCGTCTCGACGCTGTCTCATCTATTCCACACCGGTTGTGAGAAACTACGATATCGCGACGGCAGAACCAAGTGTTTCTACGATGATCATCGCGTTGCGAACGCGATGTTATTTGATCTGGTTCATGCGCAAAATAGCCGCCTAGCTCATTTTCAATGAGCACAGATAATAATAATTCATTTCGTTACAGTTTCTTTGTCGAACAATCGCTGCAACGAAACTGTTTGTCGTCTAAATCTTCGCAGTTTACGATCGACCTCGCGCGATACTTGCGCGTCGATCCTTGTTTTTACGTAAGCGACCGAGAAGCAAGAGTCGGTCAAGGCTCGAGAGCGCAGGGCTACCGGGACCCGAATCGTACCTGCTGGCCACGGACCAAGCGAAATGAGTTTGGGATTCGCGGTGGTTCGGCGCCCAGCCGAAAAAAAATTCGCGGTAGTAAACCACCGCGGTACACCACCGCTCGTTATCAATCGTGCGCGGTAGAGCATACGAGCTGACTCGGGGCACGCGCCTGGCGGGGTCGTAGGCCGCCCCACCCCTATTCTCCGGTATCCCCCCTGTCCCACAGCGGAGAAAGAGGCCCCGCGTGGCAGAGGGAGAAGGACAGACGCAGTTCCCCCACTTGGCTGAGCCCGCGGGCCCAGTCCTCCCACTCGATGCTGCCCCCTCCTCCCACCAGACCCGTGCAACCCCACCACCACGCCGCCAAGCAGTCCTCGACGATTCCCCTCGACCCGCCTCTGCATCGTTTTGCGCTCGATGCACGGGATGCCTCGCGACAGTGGCTCTCTCTCTCTCTCTCTCTCTCCTCTCTCTTCTCTCTTCTTCACCGCACGAAATCTCGTTCTTTCCTCCGATTTCTCTTTGAAGCTTCCTTCTCGAGACGATCTCTCGTCCCGAGAGTCGAGAGTCGAGAGTCGAGAGTCGAGCGTCGCTGGTTCTCGAAGCGAACGTAGGTTCATGGAAACCTCGGTTCTCGCTTGCTCGGATTTTGACAACGGAGTTGTTCGATGATTCGTTCGAATCGCTCAGCCGGCGTCGGTTGACGGGTGCTCGGGAGGTCGGAGCGCGGAAGGCGAGAGGGCGAGCGAGCGTGCGTGCGTGCACGGGGCCTCTCCCTCCGTCGTGGGCTCTCAGTGTCACGGGCCAGCGCGAGCGGCCGTAATGCGGCCCACACGCGCGCTCCACACTGGCGCGCAAATCGCATAAACACGCGCGCCGACGCATACACGCACGGTGGGGTAGAGACGCTAAGCGACGAAGCGGTCCTACCTCCTGCAGGGGACCGTGTCACGTGGCCCCCAGGCCGTGTAGCAGCACGCAGCGCGCACGGGCTGTGCTCTCTCGTGAGCGGCGCACACAACACCAGTCAGAGACGAGCCGAGAGACCGGGCGCAGATCGCACTCTCTCCCAGGAAGCGCGTGCTTTCTCCCTCCCTCTCTCCGTCTCTCTCTCTCCTTTTTTTTATCCATCCCTCTCTGTCTGTCTGTCTGTCTGTCCGTTCGTTCGTTCGTTCGTTCGTTCGTTCGCCACCCATCTTTCTCTCGCTCTCCCTTTTTCCCCATTTCTATCGCGTGTCGTGCCGCGACACGACGCGCCGTGCCTTGCCGTGCCGTGCCTCGTCGCGCTGCGCTACATCAGCTACCGATCCGTTGTAGCCACCCCCGAAACGTCTCGTTTGCGTCTCTTTGGCTGGATCAAGCTGTACAAGCTGCCGAGTGTCTCGAGTTCGAGTTTCATCGCCACGTGCGACCCTCGCCGTCGTGCGTATTTATAGTGCGTGAACACGGTCACCCCGACGGCCGCGTATGTGCGTATGTGTGCGTATCTGCGTGTGCCTGCTGTGTGTATGTGTGTGTGTGTGTGTGTGTGTGTGTGT